CAACTGCAGCTTTTATGTTCAACATGACTTTTGGCTCTCTAAAGAAGACTTCGCAGAATTTGAATATGGCAACAATTGAGAATCAAGGATTTTATTTGGAATAGCCAACAAGTCACAACTTGTCAAACATTATATGAACTGTTCTCTTGAAATATGCCTCTGCATGTGTAGAGATAAGGACCATTGTTGGTCTGTGGATAGGAAGAAAGTAGTTGGTAAATTGTTTAACTTCTGAGATGAACCCATTGATGCCACTTTCATTATCCTCTGAGACATCCCTGCTGAGTGCTTGTGAAATGTGAGAGGCCATGAAGACAGATTTCCATGTAATCTGATTTACAGGCAGCACTTCATGCCAGACCACCAAAAAACACTCCCTCTATGACAATAGTCACAGTGAAGAAGTGGTTCTTTTTAAACAAATGTGTCCGACACAGTCCTGAAATTATTTTCAAATATTTTGGCGGGAAAGTTGGTAGGCATACTGAGACAATATTGATTAAACATTTTAAATGTAAATATTTCAATGTTAACATAGCACTGTAGAAATGTTGATAAAAGTAAAGAAGATACAATAGACTGACATCTTTAGTGGTCGTTGCACTGTGTCAGTATACACAACTTCTGAGTAGCGTAATTTGATGACCTCTAACATAAGAGTGGATTAAAAAATTCTCTCTCTTCTGTTGATGTGTATGTTTTTGCTGGCCACTTAAACTGACCTTGTGATTTGTTAAAATCAACATTCAGCAAGGCTGATGTTAAAGTCACAGGACCATTAAAGGAAATTGCACCCTGCACTTGTGAGAACAAATGAGCTCTTGATAAATGACACATTTCTTGAAATTGTTTTGTTTGGTGGATAAACTGTGGGTCATTATGACTATTTACAGCTCCACTGTTATGTGAAATTTTTTATTTACCAGGGAAATCAACTTTAACCATCAGGTTTTGCTTTTGGCCCCTTTGAAAGAAAAATAACAAGACTATCCTACAGCCATGCTATCTGTGAGACTGTATAGGCACAGGGGTGCTGTGAGCTAAATCAAGGTCATCAAAGTCAACATGCTAGCACGCATCAAAATGGCAATGCTAACATGCTGAAGATTAGGAGGTAATGTTTATCATGGTCACCATTGTAGTTTAGCAAGTTAGCAAGATTACAGTTGACTTTTTTATCATAAATTTAAACTTTATTTAATCAGGTAGTCACATTGTGATCAAGGTCCATTTTCAAGGGAGAACACTACCACTAAACACAAACTACAGCTGATGAGAATATCATTACTGACCTGATGATAATGCTAGCTAAAAAGTAGCCAATAGTTGTTGAACCACAAATGTTAACTTCGAGCGGCACTTTAGGAGTCAGGGGCTCACCAGAGCCATTTGGATAGATCGTCTGAACATAATTCAATAATCCAATAGTTTTAGATATATTTTAGTCCGGACCAAAGCGATAGACAAACCAACAGACTAACCGAGGTTGCCATCTCTAGAGGCACACTTTAAAAGAGCTTCTTCTGTTTAGAGTCACTTTTTTACACTTACAAATAAGAATTAAACAAAGAAATGTACCACAGAATAAGCAGAGACACTAATTTCTTCATCAACTATGCAATGTAACTACAAGACACTATGTTTTGTGTGAGGGGTGAGGCCGTCATGATATCTGGGGCACAATGTTCAGAAATTAGTTGACTACCTTGCCTGCACCCACACACATGCACCTAAAGGCAACAAGTTCACACCCACTGGTGGGTGCTGAAAGTCATTCTGGGAAACACGGTACAAAGTGAAGTAGCAATGTAATGAGGCATGTTTAGGGGAACTCTGCACATCAAAAGAAAATGAAAACTACAAAACTCGCATGGAATAACATCGGGAAGGTAGATTTATGATATCTGTTGAATCTAAGCGTGTCATTAATACTATAATAGAACACCACAGTCTAAATGCAAAAAATCTGCCAATGCAGCAGCTTTACAAATATCAATATTCACCTATACCATACAAGCCGATGAGGTCATTTATCATATCAATCATTTATTTGGTTTAAAATTCTGCCTTTTATACACAACCAGAGATTTTCTATGAATATCCTGCCAATTACTCCCCTCTCAGGAGTGGACTGCAGTGAGAAGGAAGCATTATGTAAACAAAGGAACTCTGACACTGCAAGGAACTAAAGAAATGAAGTATGGAGCAGTGTGTTGCTTTTGTTGCTGGTGGTGGGCGGCAGCTGTATTTACCACTGCAGCCTGTTGTTTCCTCTGACTTAATGAGCATCAGGGCCACTTCAGAGCTGATGTCACCATTGACCTCAGAGCAAGAATGGGGTCTCACCAACTGGCTATAATAGAAAATAATAAACAGCTTCCTGCTTTTGTTTTGTCCACGTAAAAAGTGAAAGTGGGCTATGCATGAGGAAAAACATTTGACATTTGAATACCTGTATGCATTGGGGCCAGGTAGAAAATGGCAATAAACTGGTTTGGGGAAGTGGGAATGTGGCTGGAGGGAGAGACCGAGTGACAGAATGTGACACCTTTTTTCTCTCTGTCAGTCAGTGGGCTCACAGCTCAATTTCTGATTTGGACCTTAGTTCATATGGAGGGTAGAATTGCTGCATTAATTTGTTGTGGTGACTGTAAAATGTGTTCATATTCAAGTTAAAGTGGTTTGTCTCTCATGGACATTGACATATGGGTGAATAAAACCCTTTGAACTGTGTTTCATGCGCCTTTTTTACTTGGTCCCTGAAAGTAGCCCAAAATCACAGATTTGCCTTAAATTAACTTTTAAATCTGTACAACATACAAGACCATCTATCAACACCTCTATCCTGGCCGGTCCATAATAAGACAGACTGATGCTGGTGGTGCACCACTAGCTGAAGATAAAGAGGTCTACAATTTTTGCTCTATTGTTTGCTCTGTTATATTATTCCCATGCCTTTTCTTGATCCAAAAGAAACTGTGGCTCTGCTCGGGCAGTTTAATCCACACTTTCTTCATAATTTGTACTTAATGGGTCTACCTTTAACAGGTCTGATTATGTGGTGAAATCTATTTTAGAATTGCACACGCTTTTAACACTCTACAGTTGTTGAAATTTTAAAAGCTAACAACTGTTTTGTCAAAGAAGTTTTTGTAAGCGGCTTCATCATGTTCAATTTTCAATTCTGAAGTTGGTTAAATGGCAGTTCAATGGTAAAAATACACAGTGTGGAAGTATTCCCATTACCAAAGAAGGAGCACTTCTGTTCTATAATGTACCTCAGTAATTGTCTCTTTATTTCAGTGGAGTGCTATTGAAAAGGTCCTTGTGCTTCTGAATTACACTGATGAGTACTTGTCTCCCTCTGCAGGGCGTTAGCAGAGCTCACCACTAACTTTTAGTTTCCTCTCACTACACTAGCTGTCACTATAATACAGGGTATGAACATAGAATTGTAAAGTTGAACATAAATCCATGTCTCGATTTTAATCATTCACATACAGGTTATCCTCAGACTGCGTCCTGCATTTTCCCCTGAATTGATTTCCCAAACTGTGTTTCTCATGAGTCCAAGTGAAATTATATTTAAGTTAAATTAAATTTAAGTTTTCAGCTCCACTAAATCCCTGCGAAGGACTGGCAACCTGTCCACGGTGTACCCCGCCTTTCGCACAATGTAAGCTGGGATTGGCTCCAGCCCCCCGCAACCCTGTACGCAGGATAAGCAGTTGATGATGGATGGATGGAGCTCCACTAAATGATTAAGAAACAGTTTTTATTGAAAGGAAGAGAGCAGAATAACATCATTCATATTTAATGGTTGCCTTTATTTGGATAATGTTTTGATGTAAATTTCCTCAGTCTGCACTCAACCTAATAAATTCAATAAGACCTTAGCATTCAGCAGGGCATTTACACATCTGAAGCCCAGGAAACTGACTCATGTCTCTGAGAAAATGATGTGGACTTTTCAAAAGTGTCTGTAAATGGACAATGTCATCTTTATTCCACACAAGCAGAGCATTATACTGTTGCTCTGCAGTTGACCCTGCCACTTTTTGAATTATTTTTTCCACTTTTAACACCATATCAAGACATCTGAGCAGTGGAATAAAATGTTAGTACACTCAACATCAGCTTTGAATAATTATTTAAAATCTGAATACATATGTGGAATATAATTTATGGTTAAAGCAAAGCTAATGTTGTGACCAGTTACGCTTGATGCCCTCTGTGCTCAATCAGTCAAATTTTTTTTAACACAACACAAAAGCTGCGCTGAATGAAATGCCAAGCTCATCATGTATTTCATTCTTGTTCGATTTCACACAGCAAATCTGTATGCGGTCTGAACTCATTACACCATCGGGTGCTAAAGGGCGCATGAGTCATCGTGGCATATCTGTATGAGTGGGCTCATGCAGAGAAGCCCACGTGCTGCTTTTTCAACCGTGGTGATGTCATAACCAGAGACTTCCTGAACACAAGGTTCATTCACAGAGCCCTCCTCCCGACACAGGGACCAAGCACCAAACAAGCTATCTCCATAGTAACTACAGCCTCCAGGGATGTGAGTCCTCTTCTTGTTGTTATTTGCTATTTGAGGGAGGAATGGAGTTTGAAACTGTGAGTGTACTGTACAGGGACACACGTCATTTTTCTCAGGTTAAACTTTAAGTTCTGGACATTTTTATTATGTATAAATGATTTTAAAAAAACACATTGGGTCTCCCATGAGTCTCTCTGCTCCTCGCTCAAGACAGGAGAGGAGTGCTTGATGAGTCACTGTCTACTGTGGGTTTAATAATTTTCAATTTTCCTCTCATAATAGGCAGCATACAGAGTGAAGAAACACATTTGAGCTTTTTTTACTGAACACACTAACAGTACTATGTGACAAGACATGAAACTCAGCACCCAGAACCTTAAATGCATTTTAAATATTCATCAATTCATGACAGATACTGCAGAGGAATGACACATTAAAGCACAGACAATCATTACGTATATGGTTATTATTTATTGCTACTTTTAAGGATACAAAAATAGCATGAAACAGAGACTTTTTAAGAAGGCACAAAGTGTAGTAGACTCAAAATGAAACAAATACAACTATCAACACAGAAAACAAAATAAGACAGTATCAATAACATTTTCATTAGCAAAGATTAAAGATTGTAAAATAATAATAACAAATGCATAAACAAAAATATAACCTATTAGGGGAGACTTAAAAGTTTTAATATATCATAAATCCCTTCAGAAAACATTTTACATTGTAAACAAACAGATAAAAAATATGATGGTAACTATAACATTGTGTATATTATAAACACAAGAGGGAGGTAAAAGGTACATGACAGACGATTGTTTCTGTTTTAGTCTACTCAAACTTTATCGTAACACATAAACAATTACACTTAGTATCAAATATTTACAGAAAAGGGAAAAAACGATTACATTCAAGAAAGGTGAAATGCACTGGCTCAATGAGAAATATAATTAATAGGTCAATATTCGCTCTACTAATATTTCAAATAAAATTTTCTATCAAGAAGGTCCATTTCAAATATTAGAAACTGAGATTTAATCTTACATTTTGCTTCTATTATGTGTTTTTACTGCTTTACTTTCACTTTACAATCATACAAATGGCACTTTTGATGTAATTCAGTAAGTGAAATAATGCAAAAATAATCTTTTAACTACTGCTTTTTTTCAAGCTGTATTTGCACATGGGTTACACACACTCTGTTTCCCTACTGTGCCTACAGTGTGCATAAGGTATGACATTTACCCAAAATAATGTATGCTCTTTACATCGGCAAGCATGAAGCTTCTGCATAGGCAGGCATTTAGGTAGCTCTTAGTATACGGATTGTCATCATGGATAGAGTCAGAATTCAACTATACACAACAATAAACACAGTATAAGCTTTGGAATATTTTGTTGTAGACTGTGAAGCAGCCAGACACAAATGTTATTACAATCAACCTTAAGAGCAATACAAATAAAATAGATCAAACAATTGGATAAGCAAGACTGCCTTTAAATTTAAGTGTACAAAATACCTTACTTCAGCTTGCAAGAGCCAGACCTCAAATGCATCTTAAATACAATGCAAGTGAAAAATATATATTTATATATTTTAAATGTATGCTATTACTGTAGTATCAAAGGCCCCTGTGAAGCCACATTTGGCATTTTCACCTGAATATAAAGCAATATATTTAATGAATATAAAATGGTACATTATTCACATGACTCAAATATTATATTAAAAAAGTAATAACAATGACCCCCTGTTATTGAAAACAGTGCATATGAGGAGGCGTCACAATAGTTCATTTGTATATGGTTAAGGCAGTGTGCGCTTCACTTCAATTAGAAAACTGCACTTAAAATGAGATGATCAGCATGTAAGCTTAGAAGCATCTTTAAATACGTAGCTTCACACACAGACAAAATACACACTGTGCAAGAAGAATTAAACAAAAATATGACTAGCTTTAGCCACAAGAATTATTTGATTATATATATAAAGTTTATTTATTTATATATCTTGTATTTGGGATGAGTATTTGGTATGACATTAAGCTGTTGACCAACCAATGTTCTTCAATAAGAAATTTCACAAATTTGAAACTGCTACATAATCAATCATTCACCACTCTGAGGCAAACATGTGGGAGGCAAACAGGTGAGAGTTTAATGCCTGGATAGTATGGCTAAGGCTATTCTGCGGACACATTTCTCCAATTGTATGTCTTTATTCCTTTGTAAAACAAACTGTATCAAAACTTCAACCAGGAAAAAATAAGGCACATTCCTCTTCTTTCTTATCGGTTTGTTGCTGGGTGCTAGTGTTGACGTTATGCGTCAAATTCATTCTTCGTTTGCCAGATGAAACTGTTTATTGCAGGAAAGCATCCAAAGCAAACACAGCAGCCGGTAGCTGATATTTCTCTATGGATAAAGAAAATGAGGAAGAGAAGGTCTGATTGTTGGCAGACTGGCGTCACCTCACTGTGTGCGTGTCTGTCTGTCTGTGTGTGTGTTGGGGGGGATATGTTGTCATTTCCTGCTCAGGTTCCTTCGTCTATGTCTGCCCTCTGGCCTGGACACCCGTCAGATCCTTTCTTATTATCTCATTCACTGTAAAACAAAGAAAGAGAGGTCAGTTAGACAAAGGGTTTTTACAATAAAATTCAATCATTGCAGAACACCTATTATTATTATTTATTATTACTATTATTATTATTATCAAATTGAATGTATATCCTGAAATACTGTTGACAGATAGGTGTTTTGACGTTTGTGTTAAGGGCGTTGATGGAAGGCAGATAAAGGCTGCATTAATGTTCAGTAACCACTAGAGGTAGAGCTATGCAAGAGTCTATGAACGATCACTTCCTGTTGCTGGGATGATTACAAGTGTGTGTATACACATCAACAGAAGAGGAAGGGGGTTGAAATGGAAACTTTCAGTGTCATGGTTCTAAATATAGAATCACAATGTGTGAGGGGGCATGAGGACTATGTCATGCATTGAAAATAATATAAAATATTGAATTTCTTAAATTGAATAAATGAGATTATTTATGTCAGCCAACATGTGAGAATTTGAAGTTTTGTTGTGTACGCGCCGATAAAATAGCCACTGACATCAACGCAGCAAAGTGAAGAGGAGAAGTGTAACTACCTGTGACTCTGTCAGGCTGCCAGTACATCTGCCCACCTCTGTGATGAGCTCTGATGTTTATCTGGGTGCCCAGGCCTACTGTGTGTCTGTCTGTGTACACTGGAACTCTGAAACATTATGGGCCGGTGCCACTGCTTCCACTCTGCCTCTGGGAACTCATTAGGGTCAATGAGTAATATAAGTATTTCAAAGTGGGCCAAAAAAGCTTTTTGCCCGTATCTAAGCCATTAGAGAGCATATTGTGTCTGTGGTTTTGTAACCATGGTAATAGGCCACACTTTGCAATTGATTTAGTCAACTGAAGTTAAAAATGTACATGTTAAAATCAGAAAATTAATATCTGAAGAAGTTATTAGCCTACAAACATTGTCATAGTTCTGTTGTGTAGTATAAGGTATTGTTCCTGTTTTGTTCATTAGTGTTGTTGAACATTTTAGGAAGTACACTTATTTGCTTTCTTTCTGAGAGTTAGAGAGAACCTCTCTATTCCCTAAATATGAAGCTACAGCCAGCAGCCAATTAGCTTAACTTAGCTTAGCACAAAGCTTGGAAAACAGCTAGATTAGCTCTGTACAAAGGTTAGAAAACATTTGCCTATTTATCCTTTTTACACTTGTTTTTTTAAATGTAACAAACAAGATATAATACAGTGTTAATTGCTAAACCTAGCTAAGCCAATCAGCTGCTGGCTGTAGCCTCATATTCAAAGGGACAAATATAAGAGTGGTATTTATCTTCTCATTTACTTTAACTCTAGGAAAGACAGCTAAAAAGTTTAACTATTCCTTTAAACTCAACAGATGACTGAAAGATAAATAATATTAAAATATTAAGATGATTCGCTACTGAAAGAACCACCAGCTTTGCAAAATACTATATGCTGCTATCCTGCATGGTAGAAGAACTTGACAACTTATTCAGTTGACTTGTGTAAGTTCTATTTAAAGCCCTGCTTTACATAGTGGTGAGACAAAGAGTGCAACTACCAAAACACATGTAAAATGAAATCAGACACCATCTCACCCACGCAACAGCCTCTCAGATGAGTGTGAAGGGCAACTTGCCGCAAAACTGGCCAAAAACAGTTGCAAGGTGTTGGCATATTCTTATTTAAGACTAGCAACCAAGAGGTGTAAATAAAAGCAAAGGAACCAATGGATAGTAGATATTTCTAACCAAAATGAGCACCCACAACTACAGTCCATCCAACAAACCAATCTTTGTTTGTCTCTCTTTCTGTCTCTCCCCTTGCATTTCTATCTGATCATTTGCAGATGTGAAAGAGAAACAACTCATTACAGCAGGTCAACACATATTATAGCCAGAGCAGCATTTGAGAGTTGCGAAGCTGCAGGAGCGACCAAACCGGGTGCTCTGCTGTCGTCACAGCATCAGCGTCCCTGTTTATTTTAGTATGTAGTGGAATTCCCTCTGACACCTAATGCCTTAAAGAAACTTTCATCTCCCCAGCGGTGCCACAGGATTTTTCCTGAGCATAAAACGAGCTTAGAGAAGCAGCAGGAGCACCGCAGTGTGGCAACAAACAGTGGGGCTTTACTGAATCTAATGAAGGGTTGGCACGGACCGTCTATTTAAGGCTGGCCTGGAGAACACTCGGGCTAGTCTGTTCAATAGGTGAGTGTCTGGCTCCTGAGTTCTGCACCAATGAGCTGCACTGTTTACAGACGGTGGGAGGAGAGAGACAGACACCCTGTACAGTAGCTGACTCAATGGGTGCACACTGCCTGCTGCGAGCCGGAATGTGTGTGTTTGTGTGTCTGCAAGTATTTGCATGTTAATACAATGTATGCGTTTGTGTGTAGAACAACGTAGAGTATGTTCAAGGTGTGCATATGATGGGATAGATTCAAGAGAGGCTGATGAGGGATTGTAACAACAGCATGAAGTTGAAAATCTTAGAGAGAAAAGAGAAAGTGTGGAAGTGGACTGGCAGCTAGCCACCAATCTAACCACAAATCCGGTGTTTCAGTGTTCACATTTTGTCTGTCTTCAAGCAATGCTCACACACCAGTATGTGCAGTGAACGAGTTATTGGTTGCTGTTCCTTCTTGCTATACTGGTACCTTCCTAATAATATAATTCCAGATAATCATCTGTCTCAGTGCAAAAATGTATTCCAAAGTTCAACTGAAACTGAAGTCAGCATTACTTGAATCAACTAGGTATTTCTAACGTTAGTCTTTAGTAAAAAATTACCTGTTTGTGTTACTATTCATCCACCACAGAACAGTACCACTGTCAATGGTAACACAAACGGGGTATTTCTCACTAAGAATACAAACTTGCAGAAAAAAGCATGAACTGTGGCACTGGCCCACTTGTCTTACAGCTGAATTGCATTTGGAAGAGATCTCTTCACAGTTTGGAGTGAAGGAACAATTATAGTAACCAATGAATCTTGCGGACATGGGAGTATTGTTTTGAATAACCAATTATAAAGAAGAGGATAACAAATGCCAAAATATATAAATATACTCTTTCACTGTAAATGTGTCTTAAAGCAGTTGTCATACGCTCATCACTACAGTTGTAGCACCGTCTGGATACAGCTAAGCTGTGTATTTATCAAGGCTTTCAAATGGGATGGAAGTGAGCTGCAACTAATGCGTCCACTAGGCAGTTGCTGTGTGCTTTATCTCTCCTGCCCTGATCTCTACCTGCAGGAATAATTTTACCTGCTCCACTGCCTCAGGGCTTTATTCCACACCTACTAAATCCGTTACCCTCAGCCTTTGTCAGCTATGCCAGTGGCTCTTTGCTGTTTCCCAAACTACGTGGCACGCAGTGATCAATGCCAGACATTCTTGTCCTTTATGGTCCAATGGCAAGGCAGGCTCCAACAGATATCTTTTTTTCCCAGTTGAATATTGCCTTGTTTTAGAGGTACAGATTTAAGTTGGTTTGTGTCAGTTCTATTTACATAGTGGTGAGAAAAAGGGTGCGACTATCAAAATACATGTTGAGTAGATAAACAAATAAAGTAAATACAATCAACGGACTTTGTCTCTTTTGAGCTCCAACAGGAGGCATGGGAACTTGTGTGAGGGCTGACGAAATAAGACCTCTGCGTGGGAGAGATTATGAACCAAGATTTGGTACAAAATAAAATACCTGACTGTCTTTTCAAACTTCTAACTGAAGGTGACACAGTTCAGGCACCCCGGAGATGTGACGCTTATCGACCACAACACTGTGACAATACCAGGATGTGGCTTCACCCTTCTTTCAAAAATGACTACAAACTGAAACACATGTCTTGATGAGTAATGTTGACAATCTCACTTTGGCGAAAATGTGTTTGGTCCTGAACTTAAATGATTGTTTTGTGGTCGTGATCATACTTCAATTCCTTTGCAGTTAAATACGGGGATTTTTTTGAACACGCTTATCTTCTCACCTTTGTCTGAATTATTATTTTTTTTTGAATAGTGGAAAGTCCCCCCATTTTTCCCCATTAAATGATGTGGGTAGACCTGTAGGAATGACAAGCAGCGTACACAGTCTCCAAATGCGATTATTATTGTAAATGCATTACAGATATGGTTTTAACATTAAGGGATATGGTATTATAAAATACCATACCATAGTTTTAAAATAATAAAATCGCCTATAATACTCTGGATAAAAGAAGGCAAATAAAAAGAAGTAACCGCTAATTCTGCAATTATTTTTTATGAGATTTCCAGGGAAAAGGTAATGTGCTATTTAAATAAAAACTAAAATTGAACAAAGATACAGAGGCACCTTGGGAAGCGGACTAGCCGTCATCACTTTATGTTGATGGGAGGATCAAACAGGAGGCCCAGTGTGACTGTTCCTCTAGCTCCTTGTTAATTCACCAACTCACAGCCCTGTTGCTGTTTACTGCGGAGGGAAACCCTGCAAGCTCCATCCAAAAAACACAAATTCCATTGCTAGCCTTTTTTTCTTCGTTTCACTTTTTCCATTGAAACACGCACAGCCTCTTCCCTTTTCCTGCGAACTAGCCTCCACCCTCCCGCTATCTTACAGGGATCAGGCTCGATTTCTGGAGGAGAGCAGCTGCAAATAGGAATTTCTTGTGCCAGATTGGCAGAATGTCGTGGTCGGGAAAAAAGATAATCCTCTGGTGGGTTCCCCCACAGAATCGAGGGGCATAAGGCCAAGGAGAAGCCCCGGCCAACTACAACAAACAGAGAGGCTTTCCCCAGCTCTCCCAGGCAGCCCGTTCCACTGTTTGACAATGGTTGCCATGGAAGTTGTTTTTCACTTCATAACAGTGTCAACATGTCCAGGCGGTCAGGAGAGTGACACTTTTTTTCTCCCTCCCTCTCTGTCTTTAATGTGAGAGAGAGAGAAAGAAAGCTCATTTCCTCATGTGTGGCAGTGCCAGACGAACCCCTGCGACCAGCATGTTGTATGGAGCAACATGATGACAATCTCAAACTGCCTTTAAACCTCACGTGGCTGACACAGACTAAAGAAAAGAAAAATACTGTGCCACTTTCCAAGTCATTTTATTGTAAAACATAAGACAGTTTGGAGAACCTTTAACTCCAAAGTAAGGAAGAGGTTCAACCTTCTGCCTGCTGCTGGATGTGGCCTGACATTAATTCTGTCAGAGGGTAATGGGGTTGACAAGCACAAGTATAAACATATGACTCAGAATCCTGTTATTTCCACCTTGAGTGGAACATAGCTACACCTCCTGTCAAGGATTGTTTTAACAGTGTGAGATTGCTTTGTTGGCTTTGTTCATTGGGACACTATAGCACGTATATCAAACCGGGGTGTATGAAAAGGAGATGCCGCAGATATTTTAAATATCCTTGAATTGTCCTTATGCTGGAGGGGCTTAGCATTCATCTCTTTCAAAAAGGGAATTGCACATATCTATCACTTGTCTGCCTGCTTTTTTTCACCTCATCACACTTTCCTGGTAGACACACAAGCCATCCCACTCACACAGAGTATAAAAGCATTAACTTACACTCACCATCATCTAGGTAGGCCTGGTCCAAGTTCTCCTCCTTGACCGTCACCCTCCTCTGTCCGTCTCCTGGAGCCTCCATCTGCCCCGTGCCAGGTGGAGCCCGGCCTTTCTGCTGCCCCTTCTGGGCATAGGGCTGCTGCTGGATCACAGTGGGATAGTGCTGTGAGTGGGAGACTGCTGCCTGAGCCTGGGGGGGTGTGGGTGAGTGGGCGGCGGCCTGTGGGGAGTAGCCATCGCAGTAGATGATCTGCTGGTTGTCAGGCTGCGGAGCAGTGAGAGCTTGAGGGTCTTCTGCCCGAAGCAGGTGGTTGGTGGGGGAGAACTGGATGATCGAAGAGTGCTGGCCTGCAGCGATGGGACCTACAGACTGACCCGAGGAGCCTGTGTGAACCAGGACTGACCTGTGTGGGTCAGGCATCATCCCTCCAGCCTGCTGATAAAGGCCAGGGCTGCCGCTCAGACTCTTGCCACCACGGGAGTAGACGATAGCCGGACTCTGCTGCTGGTAACGGGCGTCTTGACTTGGAAGGCTGGAGCTGAGACGCTGGCAGGAGGCCATGCTAGAGACCAGGCCGTTGTCTTGATGGAGGATGCTGCGTGGGTTGTGGTAATAGGAATGAGGAGATAAGCCCAAGATCTGAGGCATGGAAAACCCCATGTGGTCTGCTTCGTACTCATCTATAGGTTCTGTCTTGATGGATGGAGCTGTAAGGAAGTTGAAAAAGTAAAGAGATGACTGTAAACATTCTGAAAGGAAGTACTGAAAGGAAGTAGTGTACTCACAATAATAATACTCAGTATAATCACTGTCCATTCAAATCCCACAGTAAGATATATGCATACCACAAAGAGGCTGAGCAGCATTCTTACATGCCATTGGTGTGTAGGTGAAATGTTGAGGCTGGCTCCGCTTCCTCTTGCCATTAATGACGTAGAAGTTCACTTTGACCGAATGGCAGACAGATGTGTCTCGGTAGGATGGCACCTCCACAAACAGCATGCTCTACAAGACAGTGCTCTATTATGTACTGAAACTGATCTTTTTCTTTGAAGTGAACTACTAGATCATGACAATGTACATGTTTGGTGTGTTTTACAGGTTTCATGCAGGTTTTTAAGAACATTCTGGTGTGTAATACGTACAGGCTGGCTCTTATCTTTGTCCACTGTTGCTTCCATTTCCCAGATTTGCTGCCCATCTAGAAAGAGAAGAAGCAGAGAGAGAAATTGAAAACCTAATGTTAAACAATGTGGTAATTAACTCTAGTAAGTAAGGCTGATTGTTTCAAGATGTACCAGACAGTGTATAATTCTGCAAGTCTTTACGCTGTAAATTTAGAAAATGCAGAATCCTAACCAATCGAGAAATCCACTTATTCTGAATTCTTTGTATTTTAAAGGCATTTTATGTCATGTCACTAATTTGATTCAGTTATGTACAGTAGATTTATAACCACCATGATGATCTGATTAAAATTCATGTGGACATAAAAAGCCTCTTTGTGCATGTAGATAATATCATTTTTAAAACCATTTCCTCTTACACCACCAAGCACACCTAAAAGGTAGAGATGATCTGACCCTATACCACAAACACATGTACAATTGTTCACTAATCAGAAAGACATGTGGCAGTGAAATACACACCGGTCTGCTCTCGAATGCAGACAGAAACACAACAATAACAGGGATCTGATGAGATAGGTTACATCGCATTTTATTAGATTAAACTTAAGCTGTCATCCAGGTGAATAAAGCAGAAAACAAATTGTGCTTCTAAATGTAAACTCCATGTGCCCTAACACATGATACGACATGTGCTGCAGTGAGTTCTAGTTGAATGTCAGTGTAGGTGGGATACCCTCTGTCAAATTGCAAATTAAAAACACATGGCTTAAATGACTCAGCAGGAGGAAGGGGGATTCCACACATCTCGCCAACTTTTCTTTGCCAACTTTATTTTTATGATCAACTCTCTCCACCTCTCTTACAAAACGTGATGACTACTGCTTTCTTGGCGCTTGTTTGTTTGTGTTTTGTTGCAGTTTTACTCTAAGGGATACCCCGACTCTTGTTCTCCCCCTGGAGATAATTGTGTGTGGAGGTGGAAAGGGGGAACGAGAGAGCTGGAGAGAAAGCCGGAGAAAGCTTTGGCCAGGGAAGCTTTCCTTCCCTCAGTGCAACCCTCCCTGTCCGAGCACAGCCAGGGGAGCTCCAGCCAGAGGCAGCTGTCTCTCATAAAGAGAGATTTCACAGCTGCACTGGTCCAGAACTTTGTGTCATACAGAAACTCTCCAAAACAATGGCACTTCGTAAGATTTCTTTTTCCGTCTCTGTCTTACTATCCATTACTGTGCTGTGTCGTAACACAGCGGCAGGGAACCCCGGAGAAGGAAAAGAAAAAAAAGCCGGAGCAATGCAGCAAGTTTTAGTTGAGGTAGCCTGTGGGGTGCCTGCATTTAAAAAGCCAGGAACTCCACTCTCAGACAGCAGTGGAGCCAGTGACTCACAATATCAGACAAATACAAGCATTTTAGCACAACTGTCCACCCCACAGACCCTTCGAGCGGCAGCTAGAGGTAAGCAGAAGTGGCCATGAGGAGGAAGAAAAGGGCAAAAGGAAGTGTTATGGTTATGATCTGGATCATGTACATTACTCATGTGGCTCCAGCTATACAATAATAGTGGTGAAATGTGAAAGCTGTGATCTATAGTTACTTATGAGTCAGTTAACACTTGTGCTGTGGTGTTATTGTGACACTGTGTTTTGTAATAGCAGAACTAACAGATGCACAGACCATATGGATTTGACCATAAACTGACTCTTTCCTACAGGTTGTGATCGACGGGGATGATGTGATTCAATGCCACTCACCCTGGGTTTTCTCCATAAAAATGACCTTGGAATCGGAACTGAAGTTCTGCCCAGTCAGGATCATCTGCTGACCTCCCAGAACAGAGCAGCTGTCCATGTCCTGCTTCTCCACCATGGGAAGCTCATGTGCTGAACGCTGGGCTGTCGGGACACACGGAGGGGCGGTGTGTTACATTTACTGTTTATCTACTCTCTCACATAAGAACATTTAGCCACATAAACCAGCATTTAACTACAGTCGAGCTGAAACAATTAGCTGATCGCCAGAAAGATATTTTGGTACTATACTATTTTGATAATCGATAAATTGGTTCAGGCATTTGTTTTCAAGCAAAAATAGTGAAAATTTGACAAAAGTCATCTTCTTTTTTCTGTTTTATATCATTGCAAACTGAATAGCTTTGGGCTTTGGACTGTTGGTCGGACAAAACAAGATGTGAAGACATCACTTCCAGGCATGGACATTTTTTCACGCCATTTTACATTTCATGATTAATCAATTAATCACAAGTAATCTGCAGATTAATCAGTAATGAAAATAATTGTTAGTTGCAGCCCAAAACTACAGTGAAAAAACAGGTTAGGTTTCATTTGAAGGCTTTGTATTAATTTCCCACAAGTACCCAACAACTCACTACCAAGAAGTGACGGTGTTTCACGATAAGGAGGTGATGCTGCTGAGTCATTTGACAATAGCAACCCTCGCTTTCAGTATTAACAAGCAGCAAAATAAATCTGCCAAATCACATCTTAGAAAAAGTAACAACTCTACATCCATAAGTACTGTACAGGAAACAGACAAAATAAGAGGAACAACTAACAGTCAGGCGCAATCTGATGAATGACCTAATGAAAATCTTTGTCAAAGAGTCATTAAAAACTCATGCTGTACAGTCAAACAGTATGCAATCTCATTTTAAATTCTAGTGGAGAGCCCATAGTGTCCAGAGATACCAAACATGTCCGGCTGAATTTTTGTGAAATGTGCATTATATGATGCACACAAGTCATCCAAAATATTTCCATTTGATGGAATAGGATTATTTGAATATTGCAAGCATCAAACACATTCAACGAAGGGGAAACATGTAAGTGGTTAATGTCATTGATATTATTACTATAGCTGTCAGTTTTCTTGATACACTAGACACTAACAATCATGCTCTGTGTTAACTGTTGCTTTCTAATCTCGCAGCTTACAATCACCCATTAGTTCCGTTGAAACTCCACACTCACTGATGCGAGGTGTCGACAAACAACCTTGTGACCTTTGAACAGGTTTGTTCTCCCTACTACACCTTGAGGGTATAAAACAAAGGGGATGACACCAGCAGGGGCCCTGGCATCTTAAACACACCATCACTGACTGACACAGTCTGCTTTTCAGTGGGCCTGACAGATGTATCACAGGTGTCATTGTAAGCAACTTTACGTTTGACTGGTTTTCACTGACTGCAATTGTTCTGAAGTTCACCTTACACCAGACAGGCACTATTGTAAACTATTGTTCTTCCTTCCTTGTGATCGGAAAACACGTGGGAAACAACAGTTATAAAATGACATTATATTCTGCGTCATGATTTTTTACAATGACAGGAGCATATTGCATGCAGCATGTGTCACATTGATATGATGAATGCTTTGTCTTGACCAGGGTGTTTGTCAATGCTAGATAAAGGGCCTTCTTGTTTGAGTTTTGCTTACACCAGGTGCTTTAATAACACTGTGTACACATGCACTGATGTACCCAAACACAGACTTTACTACTGTACACATACAAATAGGTATACAGACACTGAACCATGCAGTGCCCACCTACTGGATGGATGCCCTGGCTGCATAAAGACATCTTTGTGCTCATTTGAATGTGTTCCTTTTGTATGGTGTTTAGTTTGTATAAAGTTTTGTTAACTGATGAAAATATCAACAGTTTGACCTCAACAGGAAGCACACATGGGGAATTCATAAACCCTACAGTGTATCAGGACTCATACCATTTAAGATGGCAAAATTGCACAACAGAACGTGTAGCTGCTTACAGCATTCGATAGGATGCGAGGCCACTTGGAGAGAGACGTGCTGTCCTCCAGGCTGAGGTATGTGCACGCGAAACACAAGACGGACACGGGTGTTTTTTCGGCCGACATCTGTCTCGCCCTTTCTCAGCTCGATGTCGGCGTTCCTTAGCTTCAGGATCCCAGCACAGTCGATTCTGTACAAAGGGATGAATATGTAAGTAAACCTGACAAAAAAACATGTATATTCACAAAACAAATTGAGAGGAAAGATGGTAAATAATAATTTTAAAAAAGGCATTATTATATTCTCACATTGCTTTCATGTTGTTCTTTGGCTCTAGGGGGATCTCAAGGACTTTGGTGCCATGGATGATCTTCTCAAAGCTGGTGGTCGTAACTGTCTTGCCAGTGATGCGGTGGACTTGATAAAAGGCGTGGGGCTTAAGGATGCGCTCATCGGCTGTACCAATGAAGATCTGCAGGCCAAGTGGCTCCTTGCCTCTGTAGCCATGTAACTGCAGACAAAAAAAAAAAAATCATACAAACAGACTTTTTTAGCCGATGAAATACAAATAAAATATGATGGAAATGTTGGAGTGACTTTGAACTTGTATTTCTCTCCTTTGTTCTAACTCTGCCTTTCCAAATGATGGCTAATCGGTGTCAGACCAACATGTACGGTATAAGCACAAGTCTTCTTTCTGCGGCCTTGAACAGAAAGCAGCAAAGAGCTCACATCCTACAGCCTTAGGCTTTAACATAATTGGCTCTCACATAATTGGATGAAACATTTAGCAAGGGGTCTTGTCAATTCATTTCAGTTCAATTCAGCTTTATTGGTATGAATGTCAAACAGCAATATTGCTGTCAATTAAATCTACAAATAAATTACAAAAGAACAATTAATTTCATACAATTCATTAGATAAAGTAAATAAAGCAGTAAAGTGTGTGTTTGTGTTAAAATAATAATAATAATAATAATAATATAATAATAATAATAATATAATATTATTATTATTATTAAAAAATAAATAAATAAATTAAACAGTAAGCTGTCATTCAGCCTGACTGACACATTTGGCATTGGACCTATTTTAATTTCCTCCTGCAGAAAAGAAAAGTTGTTACAGAGGCGAACAGAAAGAGAGAGAGATGCTACTTTTAACTTGAGAGTGCCTCCTGAGGAAACCTGCAAAAACCACAAAGCATCAACATGCATCTAAGTGCTGTTTTTGTGCAAACAGTGTAGTGCACACCTTTATCATAAAATATAACCATGAAGTGTGGTAGAGTCATGGAACAAACACTAAAGGTAACATTGCTCTTTTTTGAATTACTATTCTAACAGCAGATATTATCACTGTAGTAAGTCTGATTGCCTGAATACAGAGTTTATTTAGATGTATTTTTACACCAGTTCTATCTAATGCTTGCTTCAGAAGTAGTTTACTTGTTGAGACTGCTTCTTTTTACTTAGCTCAGAAAACTACATACTACATGTACATCAAGTGCATTTCAGAGATGATTATCTCAGTAGATGTAACTGACAGATTACACAGCAGCTGCTGAATGTGAGCAAAGACTATGGCAACATGAACGAGCATGCTGGCTTCATATCCAGTTAGCTGACACAGGGAGTGCAACAGAGGAAGCTGACTGCAAACAGTCAACAGGCCATGTGAGTAGTCGGCCAGTTGTCATGGCAGTGGCAGGAGCAGTGAGTCATGAGAGAGAGCAGTGTTGGAAAAGCGGAGGGCGCGAGCCTCGGAGAGAGGAAAAGAGAGAAGAAGAGAGGAAGAAGGAAAAATATAGGGAGCGAAGGGGGAGAAGAGGAAGGGAAAGACAAGGTGAAGGAGTGCAGCCGTGGCTAGCCAGTCCTGACCATCTGATTGGCCTGGCAAACCAGGCAGAACTGACCTCAGGGTGAGGCCTTTGGGGATGGGCAGAAAATACTTCATTTCCAACAAGTCCCTACTATGGCCAACAAAAACAGCTCAGAAATGTTGCCACGGTAACACAAAGTTTTACCTATTCTTGGACAATATAGCCAGCCATAACTGTGTCACAGCTAATTTCGACATGCTGTGTTTGAATTCCATGTCGTGACTGTAACAGGAATACTAGCAAACATTGATTTCCTTTAAGTCAGCTTCCTAATACGAGGCCCACATCATCAACAAACCAGCGTGTAAGAGGAAGTCAGGGACAACATGAACACAGATCTGTTTGTGTGGTTAAAACTATGTGGCGATGGTACACAACAGCAGACTATTTCAAGCTGGAAGGCAGGGGGGAAAAAAATCAAAGAGCTTGTGTTGCACTGGTTGACCTGAGCTCAGTTCTGAGGGTTGTCATGAGGCTACTGGGTGGTTACAGTGTGTCATATGTCTGGGGTTGGGGCATGCATTATGATTTTTTTTAGAAAGTGAGAAACAGGAAAGATGCTAAGAGAGTAGCCAGTAACTCACATAGAATAATTTTCATACAGCTGGCCCTGGGCTATAACACCACCACCCCTGAGTTTATAATGAGTAGGAAATACCATTGTGCACAAGCCCTCCCATTAGGCCAGCCTGAAGCTCCCAAATTGGAAGGCTAATTTATTGGACATACCTGACAACATGCCTCCTTATTAATTCAGCACTTGACTGATTTAAAATTAAATCAAGTACTTTGTTTGTATGATCTTGTTTTTGGCCATACCTGCACGACAGGATGTCCTCCTGTGGTGGCTTTGACTGCACCCCTGCTTCCCTCTGTCTCATAGTGAGCTCTGTGGTGCGGCTTGGGCTGCACCTCAATGTGGAGTTCGTACTGGTCTGTGCGACGGGGGATCGGCCACTCCAACGGCGGGAGAGAAGCCACAGGGATGCTACAGAACATTTGGATACAGAAAAGGATATAAATCATGGAAATCATTACACTAATGCTCCTTTGCAGATTTAAATGTATCTTGTGTGGTATGTATTAGCCATAAGCCCTGGTTTTCCTGCTAATTTACCTGCAGATGCTGGAAACAAGTGGCTTGGGCCAGATTTGGGGGATAACAAAGAAAGGCTCTGCAGCAGGTTTGGTTTTTATGTCCTGGTCACAGGACACCAAGTAGTTTCCCTCTACATGGTCCTCTGGGTACAGAGTGTAAATCTGGTTTGATGTCTTGACTATTTTAGTAGGTACCAGGCCTGGCTGACCAGTGCCAAAACCATTCATGGCATCAGCAAGGCTGCTGTGTGTATAGTGGGCACCTATGTTATGATCTTCATGGCCGCTGAGAGGGGAGGGACTGCGGGAGCGGTGCCCAGGGACCAAGCCTGGATTCCTGTACATGTCGTAGGTGCGTTTGCCCTGTGGGGAGGTGGAGCGGGAGCCAGGCCTGGGTGAAGGCGAGCGTGGTCCCAGGCAGCCTTCCTCAGCTAGGCTGGTGCGAGGAGAGGTGCCCGGGGAGGTGCGCGGTGAGCCAGTGTGGATGTTCTGTAATCTGGGGCAGAGGTCTCCGGGATTCTGGCCGCTACTGGGGGACACACAAGGAGACGCCCAGGGGGAGTAATTTTCCGAGTGCCAGCTGGTGGAGGAGTTGCTGCTGGCGGGACTCAGGCACTGGGGTTCACGGTAAGCAAGGTTTTCATGGCCAGGCACAGTGAGGGTGGGTCTGGGACTAATGTTTAGGTGATGGTTCTGTAGGGAGTCCCGAGTGTGGTTGTAGTGCTCACGGGAGGGGGTGATTTCAATCCGCGGGCTAAGGGCCACACCTGCAGGTCGTGTACCGTCCAGGTAGTTTCTGGCCTCCTGGTTCTCATATCCTGAGAGAACCTCAGTGTTGTGTTCACTGTAGGAGGGACTGCACGACTTGATGCCGTAAGGGGAGACCTGCTCCAGAGGGAAAGCCTGGTCAGACTCAGGGCTGAGGACTTTGTGAGATGCAAGGTTGGGGTCATCTGCAGGGGAGGAAAGATGAATAACCATCACAAAACACTTTTAAATAATGCCAAAGCAACAGAGCAGTTTCCCATCATTCCAATAACAGCAATTTAACCCAGTTCACCTCTTCAAATGACACCAAAAACTTAAACTGTAGACTAGGACCTTGCTTTTCAAAGTTTGTCTTCTTGTTGACATTTACTCTCACGTGACTACTACAGTGGAACCTTTATCAAGTTGCCTGTCAAATTTACTTCCTGTTTTTATTTTTTAGGATGATTTCATGATCAAAGCTTGCATTAATTTTGAGCCAACAAATAATCAAGAGAGGGAGATAAGTCAACTCAGGATGCCAAAAAGCATCGGACAAACCTTGATCTCCTCCAGCAAAGTCGCTGCAAGGTGGTTCATATTCAAACAAGTATTCAAACTCCAAATCCTCATCAGGACAATTGACTCGACTGAGCTCTTCCTCCAAATCTTTCTCGTCGTAAAAAGAGGTCATCTGTCTAATTTTTCCCCTCACGACTCCTCCGAGTTCAGGCGAAGCGATGGGGACGCGGCTGAGGTCGTGCGGCGCTTATGTGGATTTGGGGAAGTGTCAAATGATGCATCGGTGAGCTGCAAGAGTTCCTGTTTCAGCTCGCCGCAGTTATTTTCAAATGAAGGCGGGTCTATTTGCACACTGAATTTTCGTCTTTATCTCTATGTCTGATCACGCCTCTTCTAGTCGTTGATGTGTCGAAGATTTAAAAAAAAGTAAATTTGCCGCTTGGAAGTGATGAATTAACTTCCCAATTCAAACAGATTAATGCGCGTCTTTTGACAGATCATGCAGCCTGCTGCTGCCCCCAGGTGTTTGACATGTTGCACTGACACAGCAGGGTGCTGACTGCGCTCATCATCTGTTTAACAACTGACTTGCAACTATCGTTTAAAACAGGGTTGTAATTTATACATTTCACGTTCGTGTGTACATTGATAGATGTATACGAGAGTGTACAAATACATCAGAATGCACTACTGCATCATGTTCTCCCAGTTTATTGGATTTAATGACATCAATGAGCCAATGTGCGCTCTTTGGGAGTTTATGGACTCCTGAGGGAATCCCCAAATGTACGCACCACGCAGCACAGATAAGGCGTTCCTTACAGTTGTAGCCTTACACCCAGTAGCCTTTGCTCAGTCAGCAAAACAAACAGATGCACACCATGTACACCATAGCAAACATGATATGTAATCTCAATTTAGACTATAATATTGATAATGTGTTAATTTGGGCACGCAACACAAATGAACCAAGACCAGTGGTAAGCAAACCACACCAGGATAACAGGATATAAACACCAACAACCAGAATAATTTGCAGCATATTTGAATCTTTCTATGAGCCTAATAGGAAAACCTGGGTCTAAAAATATAACATTTGCTCTCTTTGTTCAGATATTACATACTGATGCCACCTATGTAACTCTTGAACAGTTACAACTTGTAACTGTTTGACAGTATGGCAGAAGTTATTTATTTCTTAATACTATCCAATGTTTCTCTCATATTTTGCGCCAATAATATACGTTTGAAGTATTTTTCAATTTATTACTACAGTTATAGTGTTGTATGTTATTAGCTCACTGCGTCCGCCCCCCATCCCCACTCCACCACCAACATCCAGGTGTTTCTAGCGCCAAGGTACACGCTACAGCGCTGATCAAATAAAGCGCAGCAGTATGTCTCTTCCCAATCATCAACATCCCAACTATCTCTGAAGAGTTAGACAGACAACACATGCCATTACAGCTCACATGATTACAGACTTAAACACCCCAGGGCTAACACTACGCTATCAATTAAAAAATGGTTTGATTACCAGATAATCACAACACTTCAGCAGTACCTTGATCCATCGACCTCATGGTGTGGTACTGCGCCAGCCTCCAAGTCTCTCTAAACATCTGGAGAAAAAAGCGAAAAAATAAAGACAAAGAAAATTACTTTCAGTAACTCTTCAGTTAAAAATGTTGAAAGCAGACGAAACAGGAAAAAAGTCTCTGTACACGTTCAAAAACTTCAGGCTGCGACACAGCAGTTGCGCGCAAACTCCCTTTCTTTTCAAAAAACATGCAGCCGCATCAGCTACGGCAGTGGTTCTGGTATGAAGTCCCCCTTCCTAGAGCTCTATAAGGATTACTTCAGTATCAAGAGCGGCTTCCTTCCCCGCTCTGGGTGTTTATAATGGTCCAATGCTGTAAAATAACGGGATTCCCTCAGTGTTTCCTCCTGTTTGTGCGCCTTTGCCATGGAAACCTGGAGCCGGTCCATGTCGGAGACTCAGGGCTTTCCTGCAAAGCCCCACACTCAGGAATCCATGACGTCTCCAGCTCCTGCGCCAAGGCATTTCTGCGGCTTCACTCAGACAGTAGCACACAAGAACTTCATTGTAGAGATGAAGAAATTACTGTAGGACGCTGAAGGAGAGAGAAAAAATAGTTCTGAAGTTTGATTACAGGATGCACTACATGAAATGTACTTAACTAGACTACTCTGTCTAGCAGTTCATTCTATCTTCCACTTTATGAATGATTGTACACCAGATGGCTCTGAAATGTTTATTTATTGTGAGTGAATTTAAGTGGCTTCAGTTAGTTGATGTTTTGAACATGGAACATAGAGAATACCATTGTCCCCATTGAGGGAAGAAGCTACAATCCATTTCCATTTCCGAATGGAAATCTGCAGTGTCTCCTGACTGAAAAAAAGGCTGAACAAGACCACTACATAACTGCATAGACTGACCCCACTAGTCACAAGGAACATTCTCCATTGAAATTAAAAGTGTTACATAAGGGAGCATCATTGGGGGGAAAAGCCTATGTATACATTGTTATCAGACACCAGATATACAGACTCTCTTTTTCATTGCCACACGAAACTACATTAGGTGCTTGTGTATGGAGGGAGGTGTCAACACACGTGTGTACCAGAGGTTACTGAAACATAAAAATCCAGACAGGAACTTCTTAAGTATCTCTTGTATAACAGTGATCATGATATTTCTTGCAGTAGCCTTGAGCATTTCATGGTGAACTGTCTCTTACTACTTTAAATCCCACACTGACCTCACTCCAGTGTTGCCAAACAATCCATGAGTAAATCTTATATACATGTCTGAGTCATGTCTCAGTTTAAGTGCTGTAAAGTATATTAATAGTTCAGTCAGTTTATCAAGGCATCAAGTCAGTTCTCGTCTGGTAAGGGTCCATTTTAATTTCTAAATAGGCAATGAGTTCTAACACCTTAAATCATCAAACATAAACAGGCTTACTGTGGCATAAAAGGTGAAAGGAGATGTTTGACAACAACATAGACTAGCAACAACTAATTTTCATGTACTTCAGCTGGGTGGGCAAGCAAAAGTATGTAGCTCACTGCTTTTGGTAAACTGTTTACAATCATAAGTGATACATTGTGGTGTTTTCAGTTAGTGCAGAACACACAGCTGAAATTGATCCTGACTGCATTTGCTTAAGTCAAGAAACAGGTAGTTGAAACTATTTCAAGAGAAGCTGTTTTAACATTAACAAGTTCACATGTTGCCCAGGAGAGGAAGCTGTAGAATAAGCCTCCCAGAAGAGCTATGTTAAACTATACATTACTGTTTCTGTTCCATGAATTGACGCCTGTTCTGGTGCTTTTACTGCTGCGCTCTGCTCATGTGCTTCTAAATCCAAAATACAGATTAAAAAAACTAAAATCCATAAATGTATGATTGCATTCAGCAAAAACATTTCCTCTGTTGAACTTATCCAAATTGGGAATCAACTTTCCAAATTTCCAGTTTGGATGACGTTGTCGGTTCACGTTTAAATAGCATTTTAATTGATACAAATACGGTTTTTCGCTTTATTGCAGAGATCTGGATGAAAAGATCTACTAGATCCACTCTCACATCTGTCAGTTAAATATTATGTGAGAGCCAGGAGGTGGTGGATTACTCCATTATCCAGTGGGGACTCACATTAGTTTGGAGCTTTTCTATTACACACATCACATTGAGGTGATCTTTGAGTTTTTTAAGTGTCCCACTGAACCAAAGTAACCAAAAAACTTCAGGGCACTGTTCACCCTAGATAAATAGCCATGAATGTGGGGAGGGGCCCATAGAGAATATCTATGTACAGGGTCCAAAATTTTGAATTTTGCCATGTAGTTGCTGTTGCTGCTATGACTTACAGTATGTCAAGTCAGTTTTATTTATATAGATTGTATAAAGTCTGTACAGCAAATGCACCCTCTGTCTTTAGACCCTAGATTCAGATGAGGGAAAAACTTTTTATGGGAAAAAATATTGATGATGGAAGTTTACTGTCTGTAAAACTTTCTAAAATATTTATAAATTGTTGTTAATAACAACTAAACATAAATGATCCTGGCCATTTTAATTAAGGTCAAAAATGTCACACAGCATTTAGTGTGACGTCATTATATAGAATTTCTCTCAGCACCACCAACTGTAACTGGCTTCCTGCGTCCCTGAGATATAGAATAGATGGCAGAACACACACTACTCATCAATTTGATTTGATTTGAAAACCAAAAAAAATGTTGTCTCATCTTCACTATATTGCACGTGCCAAGCCTTCTGCACAGCCACAGTGACTGATCCTGTGCTTACATCAGTAATGTCAGACCCAAGGCCATTCATAGGAAAATGTGTGTACTTGAGAGAGAGAAGGGGGAGGGATAATCAAAGGATCTGTTCTGGATTGAGACATGGATTTGTCTGAGGGAGGGAGTCTGTGCTAGACTGCTGGGTGAACAAGGTGACTGCGATGAGTCTATCAACCACAGTGGCCAGAACCTTCATTTTGGGGGTAACCATCCGGCAGCCTTGTCTACCAGATGTAAATTCCTCCACTGTTACGGAACACTTATGCAACTCAAATTATGAATGAGTAAATGAATACGGCACATGCTTAAGAAAGGAAAACCGCCTGTGTCCAGACGGCCGAGTTTGCACTTCCGTCTTTTTTTCTCTCTCAGAGAGCCCACTTTTTCCAAGTTCATGCAGTATTTTCCATCACTGTAAAAACAGCTCGTTGAGGTAGAGCTGTCTGGGTTAGAGCATTGCCCTAGTCGAGTTTTCCAAGTGTAACATATGTGATTGAGCTTTTAAATCCAAGCAGTGGAACTTTGATATGGAAATGGTTCATTATATTGTGTCTCATGGAAATCTTTTTTAGGAAATTTCAGGGGGCAAAGAGAAGCATGTACTTTTGCCTCCATTCGGGTCTTTTGATCTGCTGTCTTGTATGCCGGGTACATTGTACCTTTCTCCTTTGCATTAACTCTGATTAAACTTTTTATGTATGTGGAGTAAAGCACTCATATTCATCCATTTTCTATACCACATCATTTAGAATTGCGGGGGGATGGTTGCCAATCCCAGCATACACAAGGTGAGCAGCAGGGTACACCCTGGATGGTTTGCCAGTTAACCTATTAGATTAAGACGTTAAAAATAACCATCACACTTACAAGGCCTACAAAAATAATCCACTTTAAAGGAATAGTTCGACATTATGGGAAATACACTCGTTTGCTAACTAGCTAGCACCACCTACTATGGGCAGTATTTTTTGGGTAACTGCTAACAACAAGTAGAGCTATCTGTCCATCAGCACACTTCGTAAATCACCAAAAGCTGAGGCAGAGCAGCCAAAGGACATCAGATGGAAAACCAGAA